AGAGGGGAGAGGCGCCGAGGTGGGAGTGACGGGCGCGGGAGGGGAGCCGGGCCCTTGCCGAGGGAAGGGGCGAGGCGTGGGATTGGGAAACCCAGGGATCCATAATCGGTCCATTGCGCTGGCGGTGGGGAAGGGCTCCCCAAAATCAGGGAGCAGAGGAGCAGGTATGGAGGTGAGGAGGCTGGAAGCGGTGTCACAATGAGGGAGCAGATGTGGGAGGAAGGTGGGCACCTCCGAGGTAGCGCTAGCCGGAAGGACGGGCGAGGCTGATGACGGAATGGGCTCCGAGCTCCAGGTGAGGCAGCAGGGAGCAGGGCAGGAGGACGGATGCCGCCCTGACCCGCAGGGGCCGAGCCGGGTCCTGCATGGCCATGTGTCCTGAATGCCTCCCCCGGAGGCCTGCACACGCCCTGGAGACGGGCTTCAGAGTCCTCTGCCTCTCCGGCAAGTGGGATGCCCGGCCCTGGGGAGAACCTGTGCATGGAGTTTGGTGGGAAGGCGGGAGGTTTGCAGATGCACCTAGCAAATCCTTTTCTGTCAGGTTACGCAGTGAAAAGGGGCGAGGAAAGGAGTCGTCTTGGGTGTAGGAGATAGGGGACAGGGTGAAAGCAGGAGAACTGGGAGGGAAACAAGAAGCTAGACTTCTGGAAAAACTGGCTGGGGTTTCGGTTTGTCCCCTACAAAAGTCAGAGCTGCTGCCAAGGTGGGTCTGTGGACCTTGTTGGCTGTGAGGAGACCACCCCCTTCTGGGCTCATGGCAGGGTCTGGCTGCTGAACTAGCCCCCACCTCCCATCAGTCCAGACACTGCTTGCTGTACGAAGACAAAGGAAGAAAAAGGGTAGCACACACAGTATTACAGGGCAGGAGACAAACGGCAACAGGTTAGTGCCTGTGCCGTTTCTGGGAAGGAACATGGGGCATTTTAGAGTTTAGGTGGCTCCCAAACGCTACACATCAGCCCTGATGTCTTAGTGGGTCTGGACAGTAGTGACTTCTAGCACAGCAGTGAGGTCGTCCTTGTCCTCCTGACAGTGAGGAGGGGATGGGAGCCATCTCTCCGTGCGCCGGGCACCAAGCTGTGGTGAGGGGCAGGTCCTTGGGCCCCGGTGTGTCCGCTGGGGTTGTGTGTTCTGTCAAGAGGGGGTTGGAACTGTGTGCAGGTGGGCAGGGCTGCCCCTCAGAAAAGAGGCATTTTCCTGCTCCGGTTCACCTTCAGACATGCTGGTAGGACCACCTCTGGAGAGGAAGGTCATGATGGAGTGGGGTTTGATATCCCTGTAATCCGCCCTCTCTCCTGCTTCCCAGGAGAAGTCTGCTGACCGCCCCATCTCCTCCCCGTTCTTCCCAGGCCTATGAGTTGTCCACGCTGACAGGGACACAGGTGCTGTTGCTGGTGGCCAGCGAGACGGGCCATGTCTATACCTTTGCCACTCGAAAGCTGCAGCCCATGATCACCAGTGAGACTGGCAAGGCACTGATTCAGACCTGCCTCAACTCGCCGGACTCCCCGCCCCGCTCAGACCCCACCACCGACCAGAGGATGAGTGCCACGGGCTTTCAGGAGACAGACCTCACCTATCAGGTGTCTGAGTCCGACAGCAGTGGGGAGACCAAGGTGTGTTTGGGTCCCCCATCGGAGGGAAAGGAAGGGAAGGGACTTGACCGGCAGAGAGGGGAGGGGGCCCCTCTCACTTCCTCACCGAGGACAGGTGGTAGGTGCCCACTGGTGTGGAGTGGAGCCGGGTCAGTACCCCTCATCCTAGGGGACAGGTGTCCATCCTCGCTCTCCCGATAGGAGGCCGGCCCACTCGATAAGCGGGCGGCCTCCGTGCCCATATAAGGCCGGCTCCGGCTCCGAGCCGGCCTCCCGCCTGCAGCCCGCCCGCCTGGCAGGGCCCTCGCATTCCTCCCGCCAGCTGTCTCCCGCTCGGGGTGGGGGCGTAGCTCAGCCCGGCCTCCCGCAGGCCGGCGCACTGGCGAGTAGGAAGCTGCCCTCGTGGGTTCCAGGGCCTGGGAAGCCGGCACTGGGTGCAGGTGGGCTGGCTGCCTGGGCGCAGACTACCTGACTAGCGGGTCACCTACCTCCTCAGGATGTCCGCCGGGGCACCTTAGGGAGGGTATTCCCGGCTGCTAGGGATGCCGGCCCTAGTTACGCCTCCCCCTTCCTTTTCCCGGTAAGGAGAGGGGGCGGAGCTTCCTTCCTAGTTCCTCCGGGTACTCCGCCTTCCGGGTCCTTCACCAACTGGCCAATTGGAGGGAGCGGCACTGTTTGCCTTAGCAACGCCTTCACCAATCAGGGGCTTTGAGCGCGTCTGATTAGCAAACATCCCGCTCTGACCAATCCCCAGTATTTGAGCCCCTCAGTCCTCCGGGCTTGGCTCTCAGCCCCCGGTTTCCTCCTTCCCCTTCTAAAAACAAAGGCTCCCAGAGGGGAAAGGCAGTGCTTTAGACTTTCCCCTCATGTGGTGGCATCTGTAATAATTTTTAAACTCTTAGCAGTAGGGCTTATTCACAGAAAATTATGCTGGATGAATCAATTCTTTTGGTAATTAAAATCTTAAGTATTTGTCATAAAGTGCCAACCCCCCAAAAATCTCTCTCAAACCATAAGTTCCCTGGAAAAACTTTCGGTCCCTATCTCAGAAGCCTGGCAAATATGAACTGGAAGGACCCCTTTAAAGAGGGCATAGTAGCCCAGTCCTCTCACGCTTACAGAAGAAAACTGAAGCTCAGAAAGAGTAAGTGATTTTCCCAGGGTCACACTGATGGTCATTGCCAGAGCTGGGAGCAGACGCCTGATGTCCCAATTCCCCAGCCAATGTGATGGCCACAGTCCATTGGGGCTGACCTCAGGGCATTATGATGACCATATTTACCATTATCGTATGTTAAATAAGAGCAGCAAATACTTACTGCTCTTTGTATGTGCCAGGCATTGTTCTAACTTCTTTAAGTATGTTAACCTATTTATTCGTCACAACACCTGTGGGGTAGGTATTACCCTCCTTTCATAGACAGGAAACTGGAGCGTAGCAGTTCAGTAACTTGCCCATGGACCAGGCAGCAGATAAAGGTCAGAGCTGTGATCTGCACCCAAGCACACTGGTTCCAGTCTGGGCTGTCAATCCACATCAAGCTCCTGCAGGGGCAGGGTCTGGTAGAGGCTCACTGCTCCATCTCTACTCTGGGTGTAGGACTCACTGAAACCGGTGTTCACAGTCACCAACCTGCCGGGTACCACCTCCACCATCCAAACAGCACCCAGCACCTCTACCACCATGCAAGTCAGCAGCGGCCCTTCCTTCCCCATCACCAACTACCTGGCACCAGTGTCTGCTAGTGTCAGTCCCAGTGCCGCCAGCAGTGCCAACGGGACGGTGCTGAAGAGTACAGGCAGTGGCCCTGTCTCCTCTGGGGGCCTCATGCAGCTGCCTACCAGTTTTACCCTCATGCCTGGTGAGTCACAAGGGTCAAATTGAGCATGGGAAGAGTGGGTTTAGGGTTGGCACAAGGAGAACCTTTTCCCCTGCTCAGAAGGAGGGTGGACAGGGGGCCAGGGCCTGAGAGAAGCCGTTGGCAAGCATGCCCCTTCCCATTGGAACCTCTGTTATCCTTGCCAGTAAGTATCAGCCATATGCTCTGGCCTTGTCTAGCCAGCCCAGCCCTGTGTCCCCCATTGCCACAGGGACAGTAGACATTCTGTCGCTTCCCTACCTTGACTAGAAGGCAGATCATGTCCAACTTCCTGAAGAGGAAAGAGGCGAGGCCTAGGATGGGAGGAGGAGGGAAGAGCAAAAGCAGAGTAGAGAAGCCCCTGGAGACCAAGATTCAGGACAGGAAGGGCCTTTTTGTCTCCCACAAAAGATAGCGATGGGAGTTGGGGAGCAGTGTGTCAGACCCTGGGCATGTGGGTGTTTGAGGGTGCTTGGTGCAGGTGGTGGCTGGGTAGGACAGGGCACAAGTAAGTCTCTGTGTCTCCTAGGTGGGGCAGTGGCCCAGCAAGTTCCAGTGCAGACCATTCAGGTGCACCAGGCCCCACAACAAGCGTCTCCCTCTCGCGACAGCAGCACAGACCTCACGCAGACCTCCTCCAGCGGGACAGGTATAGCTTGAAGCTCTGTCACTTTTTAATGTGGAGACTGAGGCTTCTGGCTTAACCCTTATTCTAATCCTTAAGAGAAAGTCAGGTGAGGGTGGCTGGGTTTTGTATCCTGCCCTGCAGTAGGGCTGTGGACTCAAAGAAGAAATTAGGGACCATTGAAGCTACCCTCCTCCTTATTCAGATGAGAAGCCTGAGGCCCAGAAAGGAGAAGTTACTTGCCCAAAGATTCACATTAATAATCCTTCCTTAATTACCAGGAAGGATTTATAGAGCAGTTGTCTCCGTGTGGGAGGGTGTCCTAGGTTTAGAGTAGCCATAATTTCCTCAGGGTCTCCAGTCATTCCAGATATGATGAGACACTTTCAGAATAAAATTACTTTTAAGTTCTTGTTATTTACAACCTTGTTATCCTAAATGTGATCTATGGAGGACCAGCATCACCCTGGAGCTTGAGAGGAATGCAGACTTTTAAGCCTCACTCCAAACCCACTAAATCAGAATGTACATTTTTAACAAGAACCCCAGGTGACTGTCTGCACATTCACATTTGAGAAGTGCTAGTTTAAAAGATGCATGTGTTAGCCACACATTTAGGAAGAAGGAGGAGGAATGAAAACAAATAAAAATACTGAAGCTCCCTAAAGGGGGAGTAGTATCTGAGTTTCCTTAGCGGGAGACATATGGGTCAGTTACTGTAATCTTAGTTTTTCCCAGGGCCTTAGGGTCTTGGAGCAGAGAATCCAGCAAATAGACAAGTAAATAGCACGATGTGGCAGGATACAATTAAAGGCTGGTGCTGTTGTGTTCAAGAAAAAATAAGGCTTTTCTTAGTTGATGACAGGTAGCAGAGGAACGAGTCTTGTCTAGCTGCTGACCTGGGAAATGGCTAGAGAGCTTTGGCGGCTTGGAATTCCTGGGGGTGGGATGGGAGATATCAGTGGGGACCAGTGTCAGCCTCACTGACATGTGTCTGTATTTGCCAGTGACCTTGCCCGCCACCATCATGACATCATCTGTACCCACAACTGTGGGCGGCCACATGATGTACCCCAGCCCCCATGCGGTGATGTATGCACCCACCTCGGGCCTGGCTGATGGCAGCCTCACCGTGCTCAACGCCTTCTCCCAGGCGCCGTCCACCATGCAGGTGTCCCACAGCCAGGTCCAGGAGCAAGGTGAGTTGGGGGGCAGGGCTGAGAAAAGGAGGACCATTATCTCCCTTATACACACACACATAGACACATACACACACACACACGCTTTCTCCCCCACCCCCGATATATATGTCCACACATACATACACAAACTAGGATGCTCCCCATGCTTCTACACATATACACACGGGTACTTGCATACATACTCTGTCACCCATGCTTGTCTGCTTAGACACTCATGCACACTTGAACACTCACACACGCACTTGGACACATTGGACACTCACCCTAGGGCATTACATCTGAGACTCACCCAGTCATATGTGCATTTATCAGCTCCAATAACTGGAAGTTTCTCTAGAGCAAGCAATTTGAGTATCTCCCGTTTTCCAATGCAGGTGGCGTCCCCCAGGTGTTCCTGACAGCACCATCTGGGACAGTGCAGATCCCTGTTTCTGCAGTTCAGCTTCACCAGGTAGGTGGGAACCCCTTTCACCCCATCCCAGCCAGCCAGCTACTTTGTTTGTTTGTTATTATTAAATCCTCACCCGAGGATATTTTTTCCCATTGATTTTATTTTATTTTTTAACTTTTTCCAGGTCCTCTTTTTATTTTTTATTTTTATTTTTAAAAAATATGTTGTTATTGATTTCAGAGAGGAAGGGAGAGGGAGAGAGAGAAAGTTCAATAATGGGAATCATGGATCAGCTGCCTCCTGCATGCCCCCTACTGGGGATCAAGCCCACGACCTGGGCATGTGCCCTTGATCGGCATTGAACTCAAGATCCTTCAGTCCACTGAGCCAAACCGGCTAGGGCTTTTCCATTGATTTTTAGAGAGAGTGGAAGGGAGCGGGAGAGACAGAGAAACATCGAAGTGAGAGAGACACATCAATTGGTTGCCTCCCGCATGTGCCCTGACCAGGGCTGGTGATCAAGCCTACAACCGAGGTACATGCCCTTGATCAGAATCAAACCCAGGACCCTTCAGCCTTGGGCCAGTGCTCTAACCACTGAGCAACTAGCTAGGGCCAGCCAGCTACTTCTTTATCTTGACCTTGGGGATTTTATTACTAGTTACTCAAAGCTAAGATTCCTAGCCAGAAGGCCTGTCTGTTTTCCTGGTCAGACCTGTGGTGGGCAGGCAGGCAAGCAGGAGGTCTGAGCTGGCTGATGTGTTCCTGTCCTTATTTCCTGACACATCTACTTCCCTCCAGATGGCTGTCATAGGGCAGCAGGCCGGGAGCAGCAGCAACCTCACCGAGTTACAGGTGGTGAACCTGGACGCCGCCCACAGCACCAAGAGTGACTGATCTGCCCTGCCGCCCTGGACAGATGGCCTAGGGGACGGCACCACTTATTTATTGTTGCCTTTTCACGTTTTCTTCACACACATGACGGGCCGTAGGAGGGAGGCGGGGAGGAGCAGTGGGCAGCCACAGGACTGAGCCCTCTCACTCCAGCCAAAGAAATGGGCCAGCCTACCCTCCACCCCGGCCTCCCTCACTCTCCCCTCCTCTGGCTCCACCTCCCATTCTGTTGATGGGGCTGCCCTCCCTCCTCAGACTTCCCTTGCCAGCTTGGCTCCATGTTTGCCATGAGTATTAGCTTTCCCAGTGGACCGTGCCCCACCTACCACAACAGATCTTTGTGGGACTAGGTACCATCCTCCCCCACACCTCGAGGAAGCAATGGGGTCCTCTGTCCAGCCTCAGTGCTGACCCCATGTCAGTACTGTGTCTGCCACAGGCTGGGTCAGTAGAGCCCTCCCCAGGGAGCCAGCTGGGGAGATGGGGCTGCTTCCCTCATGCTGCCGCCTGCAGCCCCTGCAGCTCCACGTAGCTGGGCCTGTGCAGGGAGCAGGTCCCCGGGCCATCTGCCCTGCCTTGCCGCTCCCTTGGGAACTCCAGGGGCTCCCGGATTGGAGGGAACCATCATTGTTCCTTCTCCCCATCTCCCCCCCACCCCCCCAGCTGCTTTACTTAAAGTTGATTTTGAACTTTTTATTTGAGGAGACGAAGTGAAAACAAATCTATAAATATATATTTTTAAAATATTTAACTTTTTTTTATGGAGTTTTTCTCGTCCCCCTCCCTGCCCAAGCTCCCCTTCCCTGGGGAGCCCTGGGGCTCCCCAGAACTGGCTGGGCCTCTGGGGACAGAGCCACCCCCTGAACTTGGGGCCCACCAGTGTGTGGGGGAGATTCTGGGATTGCCCGGTCCTGGGTTATTTCCAGGAGAAAACCGGGGAGGGGCCCTCAGGCCATGCCGCAATGGGATGGGGAGGGTGACCCACAGCTCTGGGCCTCTTTTTGCCCTCTAGGGCTGTTGTTAGGGAGAGGGAAGAGGGAGACCAAATGGTGGGGTGTCAGGTAGAGGAAACTGACTTCATTTGTGCCACATGCATGGGCATTGCAGCCTTGTGCTCCCCAGGCCTGCAGCTGCTTGGGGCCCAAGTTGCAATGAGCAGGGTGGGATCTGGGAGGGGGTGAGAGGCAGGAAAGGGGCTCAGAAAAATGGGAGCAGCTCTTGGGCTGAGTGCAGTGATAGGGGAACCAGAAGTGGGCAGCTCTCCCAGGGAGTGAGCAGCTACTGTAACTTTTTAAAATTAAGACAAAAAGCCTTGAAGAAAATGACTTTATTTTTCTAAGTGTAACCTCAGTATTTATGTAATTTGTACAGGGGCCGTGCCCCACCCCCCTCTTCCCCCTTTGGGGTAGACCTTCAGGGTGGGCCAACACGGGGAGGGTCTTTTACCCTGTGTCAGAGCCCACCTTCACCCCCAATATCCAGAAAGGAAGCTTTTTCAGAACAGGGCAGCAGTTGGGGTGGAGTTTTATTAACCCTATGACTGCCTTCAGTAGGAACAAGCCTGCTTCTGTGATTAGGTGAAGGGGTGGGGGGAGATTTTACGCACAGCCTAGTTATCAAGGGGATGATTTGCCAACATTTTTTGAGTCCCCCCTAACCTCTAACCCCCATTGCTGTCTTGCCCCAGTTTCGGGTGCCAAGATAGAAGTCACCTTTCTGGGCTTTCTCCTGGAGAGAGCTGGGGCTTATGGGTGGCTTACAAGGCTGGGGCATGGCAAATCAGGGGCCAGAGAGTCGGGGGGCTTGGGACTCAGGTCTGTAACTGCCCAGCCCTTTTCTCTGCTCTTGTTTCACTCCACCCTCACTCACTCACTTCCCAACTCCCCCACCAGAGGAGGAGACCTTGATGAATTCCTCCTCTCCATCCCACAAAAGACAGACCCAGTGAGTGAATCAGGCAAAGTGCTTATAATGTGTGTTGTGTGAGCATGGCCTTGGGAGAACATGCGTGCATCAGGGATAAGGTGGCATTTATATGTGCAGCAACCCTTGGTGTTTCCCTTCCTTGGTGGCTCTGGGGTGTGTGTGTGTGTGTGTGTGTGTGTGTGTGCATGCACACGCGTGCGCACACTTGAGTGAATGTGTGTGTGAATGTGGGGTGTGTATGTCAGTGATTTCTACTTCCTGGGATGCTGACCCAGGAATAGTGGACATGGTCACAGTCCTATGTACAGAGCTTTCTTTTGTATTAAAAAAAAAATACTCTTTCAATAAATGTATCATTTTTGTGCACAGACTGTGGGATCTTTGCCTCTGTTTTTCTGTCTAGGGAGGGACGGAGGTATGAACAGGAATTAAAGCCCAAAAGCTGCTGCTCTGAGAAGGAAGCCTAGTTGCTTGAAAACAACAGCAACACTTAGGAGTGCTTTGCCCTGTTAAACTCTGAACGATTTAAGAAACATTTCGCCGGGCTGGGAGCCTTATCGACGTGCATGGCTTAGCTAGGAGCTTAGGTCAACACAGAGATAAGCAATTTTAATTAATAGAAACGGACTCTACCAATCTAAAGCATTGCTGGGGGGTTTGGGACACTCGTGGCCACGTGACCTAATACAACCTCAAAGGACAGCCCTAGGTGGGAGCGTGGGTTGCTAGGTTTCAGGGGGAGGAGGGAGGCAGAACCAGAGGAAGGGAAGGGGGTTTCTTCCAAGCGGATTGTGGACGGGAAGGACTGCCTGCTGCTGCAAAGGCACGGACCCACGTGACTGCG